AAAAAAAAAAATTAAGAGGAATAAGGGTCAGCATGCCAAAATTATAAAAAATGTCATAGTGGCACTCATTTGTGGTATTCTAAGAGAAGAAAATAAGTGAAATAATTTACTGGAGCCCATTCAGCTCATACTTAAGCCTTTTATTCAGTATTAAATTCACATATTCAAGGTTCATGTTACTCGACAATTCCTAGTATGTAAAACCTAACACCTATTCACGTTATGAATCTGACAAAGGGCTAATAACCAAAATCTACAAAGAACTCAACCAAATCAATAAAAAAGAGCAACCCCATCAATAATTAGACAAGAGACAGGAACAGAATATTCTCTCATAAGGACAGATGAATGGCCATCAAACACATGAAAAAATGCTCATCTTCCCTAATCACCAGAGAAATGGAAATCAAAACCACTTTGAGATATCACCTAACCCAGTGAGAATGGCCCACATTAGAAGGTCCCAAAGCTGTAGATGCTGGTGTGAGTGTAGAGAGGGAAACACTCATGCACTGTTGATAGACTGCAAACTAGTATAGCCTCTATGGAAAAAAGTACAGCAATTCCTCAAAGAGGAAAAATATACCTTCCATTTGATCTTGGAATTGCAATTCCATCACTAGGTATTTACCCAAAAGAAATAAAGTCATTCTATAAAAAAGACATTTGCACTCGAATTTTACAGCAGCTCAGTTCACAATTGCAAAGATGTAGAAACAACCCAAGAACCCATCCATCAACCTATGAATGGATTAATAAACTGTGGTCTATGTAGAACAGGAATACCATTCCACCATAAAAAGGATGGACACTTTGTATCTTTCATATTTACTTGGAAGGAGTTAGAGAACATTCTCCTAAGTATCACAAGAATGGAAAAATCAAGCATCCCTTGTACGCAATACTAAACTGAAACTAGCAGATTAACAACTACAGGCCCGGATAAGAAAAAAACACAATTAAAAAAGGGAAGAGTGAGAGGGTTCAGTAAGTTCCCACCTATTTGGTACAATGTACAGGTATATGACACAGGAACCTTCTCTGGGTGAAGGACACAACTACAACTTGGACTTTACCTTACAAATGCAAACAATATAACCTAATCATAAGTATCCTCATATTAATACAGAAAAAAATAAAGACTTCAAAGCTATTTCAGTATAAGACTTCATTAAGTCATAATTAGACATATCTTTATAAAGTATTAGGTCATAGTTAATGCTTTCAATTAAAAGAAAACTTTTTCTTTTAACCTTTATTTATACATAAAATCCCAATTAACCAAAAAGCTCCTATTTTTCTTTCTTCAAATCCATATTTACCTTTGATCCTTTCAAACAAGTATTCCTGATTTGGTGTAAGGTCTAGATACTGCACGATTGTATTCAGAGTCGGAATGAGAGGTGCTTTGACCAAGGCAGCTTGTTTCAAGCTAGTAATACTAGCCTCTGATAAAAAGAAAATAGGAAACACAGATTATCCTTCATGTGGGTCTCCAAAAGAATGTAAAATGCTAGTTCTTAATGGCATTTATACAAGTTAGTGATGTCCTCCCTGACCACCCTATCTTAAATTCTCAAACATTAATAACGCCTTCTGGTGATTTTTTTCCTCCCTACCACTAACCACTTTCCAATGTACTTCCTTTATCTTGTTTATTGTCTGTCTCATCTACTAGAATGAAAGCTTAATGAGGGCAGGGATTTTGGTCATTTTGCTCACTGCCCCCAATATCTCGAATAGTACCTAGGAGAGAGCGGGCACTCAACAGGTGCATTGAAGGAATAAATGAAAGCAGTAATAGCTTATCTTAATTTGCATTATCAGCTTTATGTGATATCTATCCCTTTAGGCAAGGTGGCCAGATTCACAACATCCCTCTCCATACTGCCAAAGCAGCCAAATCCATTTTGGCAAATCTACAAACAATGCCCAGAAAATTTTTGTAGGATATATGTATATAAAAAGACACACAATAGCTTTCAAAATAGGTACAGTTAGTTGTCCATTATGCCAAGACAAACAGAAACTTTTTGACAGTGATTTCCCTTATCAAATCATGAAAGTTAACTACAGAAAGAAATTTTTAAAAAATTATAAAATGTCCAGCCTTACTAGTAATATCCATTGTCAGAAAAAGGTGTTATATATGTGACCGGGTATTATATATGCTAGGGTATAAGCTTTTTAAAGGGAATATGCATCAAAAGCCTTAAAAATATTCACACTTGTTGAACTAATGACTCTACTTCTAAGAAATTCTCCTAATGAAATAATTCAGATGAAAGGACATTAACTCTAGCATTATTAGTAACAGTTAAAAAAAACCTCCTAAATTCTAGATAACAAAGATTAGCTATATGCAGTATATTACATATATAAAAAAAAGAAAAATAATCTAGCCATAAAAATAACATGAGACAATATTTAACAAAATGGAAAAAGTGGGAGAAGGGAAATAGGCAACTAAACATATGATCTTGATCTCGTTAAAAATACAGGGTGGCCATAAAGTTCATGTGCACACTAAAATAGTGTGCCATTTAAAACTGCACAAGGACTTTGTGGATACCGTGTGTGTGTGCATACACACACACACACACACATATATGCCTGTATTTTCTCAATTCCTAAATATATACTTTTCACATTTCTTAAGTGTCACTCATGATTGACTGATAAATAGTCATGCATCACTAAACAACAGGGATATGTTCTGAGAAATGTGTGGTTGGGCAATTTTGTCATTGTGTGAATATCACAGTTTACTATATAAACCTAGATAGCATAGCCTACTACATACCTAGGCTATCCTGTATAGCAGTGGTTCTCAAACTTCCTAATGCTGCGACCCTTTAATACAGTTCCTCATGTTGTGGACCCCCAATCATGAAACTTATTTTTGTTGCTACTTCATAACTGTAATTTTGTTATAAATCATAATGTAAATATCTGATATGCAGGACGTCAACTCCTGTGAAAGAGTCATTTGACCCCCACAGGGGTTGCAACCCACAGGTTGAGAACTGCTGCTGTATAGCCTCTTGCTCCTAGGCTACAAATCTGTTTAGGACACTACTGTACTGAAAACTGTGGCAACTATAACACGAAGGTAAATATTTGTGTACCATAACATATCTAAACATAGAAAAGATACACTAAAAATATGACACAAAAGATAATGGAGCTTGTAGAACTGGAAGTTGTTCTACCTGAGTGAGTGGTAGTGGATGAGAAAGCCCATAAAACCTAGTCTATAATGCCTCCATTACTGTACACTAATGCAGACTTCATAAACACTGTACACTTAAGCCACACTAAATTTATTTAAAATATTCTTCTTCAAGCAGAGAGAGGGAAGGAGGGAGGAGTTCCTGGCCTACGGGGGAACTTGGTGTGTACCACACCTTTTGGGGGCAAGACACGATTGTAAGAGGGACTTTACCTAACAAATGCAATCAGTGTAATGTGGTTTCTTATACCCTCAATGAATCCCCAACAATAAATTTTAAAAATATATATATTTTTTTCTTCAGCTCAGCGCCCATAGCTCAGTGGTTAGGGCGCCGGCCACATATACTGGGGCTGGCAGGTTTGAACCTGGCCTGAGCCTGCTAACACAACAATGACAACAACAACAAAAAATAGCCAGCACTGTGGAGGGTGTCTATTGTCCCAGTTACTTGGGAGGTTGAGGCAAGAGAATCGCTTTAGCCCAAGAGTTTGAGGTGAGCTGTGACACCACAGCACTCTATCAAGGGTGACATAGTGAGATTCTGTCTCAAAAAACAAAAAAATTTTTTTCTTCAAAGATACTCTTGCTGTAACGTTTTTACTTTATAAACTTTTTAAACAATATGTATAATATTTTTATGACTGGCAGTGCAGTAGGTTAATATCAGATTACCACAAACACATGAGTAATGTGTTGCTATATGCTCTTATCACAGCTACTGTGTCACTATGAAATACGAGTTTTTCAGCTCCATTATAATCTTATGGGACCACCACATACATGTATACTTGGTCTGTTGTTGACCAAAACATCATTATGTGATGCATGACTGTATATAGTTAATATTATAGCATTTTCTCCAAAAATAATTTTTATAACCTTCCAAATTTTCTAAAATGAATGTATGTTACTTTTGTAATCATAAAGCAAAGCAACATTGGACCTCACCTAATGTGCATGATGCAGTGGCACATTTCAAAACTATTAAGAAATGAATATAATTGTGATGGATGTGTTAATTAGTTCAATGTAAACATTTCACATTGTATATCAAAGCAGTACCCTGAACCCCATAAATGCATCAATGTACAAAGGTATGATTTAATAAATAAATAAATAAATATGAAACAGAAAAAAGAAACAAAAAAGCAACATTATTTTTTAAAAAGCACATCACCGTGGTAAAAGATTTTGTTTTTGTTTTTTTGTTGGAGACAAGAGTCTCACTCTGCTGCCCAGGCTGGAGTACCATGGCATCAGCTTACCTCACAGCAACCTCAGACTCCTAGGCTGAAGCAATTCTCCTGCCTCACCCTCCCAAGTAGCTGGGACCATAGGAATCTGCCATGACGCCTGGCTAGTTTTTCCTATTTTTTTTTAGTACAGATGGGGTCTTACTTGTGCTCAAGTTGGTCTCAAACTTCTAAGCTCAAATAACCTACTCACCTTGGCCTCCCAGAGTGTGCCATCACACCTGGCCTAGTAAAATGTTTTGAAAGATTTTTTTTGATGACTGAACCTCACTGTGCTGCTCAGGCTAGAGTTCTATAGCCTCAGCCTAGCTTATAGCAACCTCGAATTCCTGGGTTTGAGCGAGTTTCCTGCTTCATGCTCCTACTTAGCAGGGACTATAGGCAAGTGACACTACATCTGGCAGAAAGATATTTTCATATCTCATAAAGAAAACTCAAAAAGGACAAGCACAGGTTCAAATAACTTTACCATTACCAAATAACGTTACTCATTCCGGCTTTACAATCAGGGAATTTTGACCTCACTGTTCTGTGCATCAGGCAAGTTATTTACTGAGCTTCAGTAGCCTCGTCTATAAAATGAGGCAACAAAGCCAGCTTTCAAGGTTAAAGTCAGTATTATGTTAATTATATTATATATGAAACATCCGAATATATCAGCCACTTTAAGGATGTACATTTCTATTTTTAGTCCAGAGAATAAAAATTAACATACACAAAGCAAATGGAAAGTGCCAACATGCAACACAAAGCACTTAACTTGTTTCAAAGAGAAGTTTATGCTCTAGGCTGTATACAACTTTGTAATTAACATCCAATAAGGGTCTCGGTCTTTTATCTCTAACATATAAAGAACATCTACAACTAAAAAGACAAACAACTCAAACCTTTGGCTTGTACATGTTAAATAAGTAAATTGTATGGTAAGTAAATTACATCTCAAAGCTGTTACACTTAAGAAAAAATTGTATTACGGACATTCAGGTTTTTATCTTTACCTCAAGACAACCAAAGAAGTTGTTACATAGCCCATTACAAGAAGAAATTTTCCACTTGGCAGATTTATTGACAGTAAATCAAATGGTGGGTTCTATTTTCACATACCTCCTATTTGTAGCTCTGGACAGCCCATTCGTCTCATCTGTGTGCTGACAGACTCAATCTCTTGTACAAGCGGCACTAATATTGTCTCATTGATCCACTAGGAAAAAAATGAGGTATAGATTTTACATGTATAATTCCAAAGTATTTCTCAAATAATTATCTTTCTTTTTACAAGCAACTCTAAGAATTTTTTCAATGTCCTTTACTTGAATATTAAGAGTCATAAAGTGTTCTGAAAGAGAATGGATGGAGCAGCTACCTGAAGTCAAGAGAATTAAGTAAACATGCTATTGGCATGTCAAGTAACTAACTT